ATATATATATATATTCTATAATATTTCAGATGAGGCTAGTTAAGTAAAGTGCATTGCCTTTATTAATTTCTGCAGCCCACCGGGGGAAATCTGACTGTGATTGTAATCAGGGCCCTGGTTGGATCCAAAGCGGGGCGCCCAATCGGCAGTGAGAGAATATTGTGAAGTCCCGAGGGGGGGGGATGGGGGGGGGGGGGGGTTCACGGGGCATTTTGGTTGAAAGGTGACCCTCTTCCCCCTTTTAACCTCCTGAATGTGTAAGAAATGTCAATTGTGTGTACATGAACTGAAAGAATTCAGAAAGTAGTGAAATAAATTAGCTGCTTCCCACCGGGCTCCGTTTTGTCAGAGAAGGGTGCCTGAGAGAGCAGATTTTTTTTCTTTTTTCTTTAAAGCTTTTCGGATAAAGGGCGCCTCTTTCTGCTGTATCGCGCTTTTTACAACGGTCTGTCCATTTTTACCGTCGGGGAGAGATGCTTTAAAAGAGAACGGTTTGGGGCCCAGATTGTCGGCAGATGTAGATCTTTGATAAACTTCCTAGGAGATCTAAAAAAATAAATAAAAATGTATCCACCCTAGCGTGATGATCCTGAAGTTTGCCCCCGGCCGGGATAGAAAAACCACTCGCCGGTTTTTCCTCTTTTATTGTCCGTACAGTTCACACACGCCCAAACTGAAATGAGTCCTCGCCAAAAAGCCCAAAACGGGGAAAAAAATCAATCTTTTTCTTTTTTTTCTTTTTCTTTGTTTCTATCCTTTTTTTTTTTTTCCTTTTTAAATCACTTGACGAATTTGTGCGTTTAATTTTCAAGTGATCGTGTAACAAACCAGTTTGAAATGCTCAGGTAAATATGTGAACCTACACAGCTCAGGACAAGCTCGATCTGTTGATGTTAATTGTATGATTGAAAGTTCCAGAAGGGCCAATAAACACAAAGGAACCACAAGATGTAACACTTTCGCGCTATTTTTTATTTTTTTTTGTTTCAATGCACATTATTTAGGCCCACTCGGATGACGTTGTGCTTTGGAAGTTGTCGGAAAACCGGATCTTTCTGCTCTGATTGGAGTTAAAGCTCTCTGAAGTCGCACAATAACACAAAATCAACGATCTGTGGCTCTTGTAGTTCCCCCTTTCCACCACCAGAGGGCAGTGCTGCCCGCTAAAAGACGTCCACTCTGCAGAGAGACTCTTATTTTCCGCAACCTGGGAGGCAGGTTACATCATTTCTGCCCTTTCTTTGTTTTAACAGCACAAACGAGCATCTTTGAAAGTCGCCACGCAAAAAAAACAAGACGGAAAGTCTCTCAGAGGCTTTTAGCAAACGCCAACACTGTGCTAGAGTGCATGGAGTCACATGGATCGGGATTAGTTTGGTCACAAAGCCGGTGAACCGATTAATAGAGTTCTGAGTCTGGATGGATGTCGTTTTAATAAATCACAAAGGGAGAAATGGAATCTTTCCTTGGAAATATACACGGCCACCACGATTTGCATGTTCCATCTATTCCCAGCCCTTGGATTTGAGGCACTCTGCCCTACGTGTTTTTCATGTTTCCCCCCTCCGACACACACACACACTCACACATTCCTTTAAATGTCTCTTGGACGACACACCTTTCTCTCGAATTACTGAAATTGCAAGACGAGGCTAAAAAGAGAAAAGGTATTCATGATTATTAGTATTTCTAAAAAGGTATATTCAACATTATGTGCCAGTGGTGTGCTTTAAAAGAACTTATTGGCTCCATGACAACATCCACTGAAGAAAAAAAACTGGTGTCAGGTTACATTAATAATTTGTTTGAGTTCATAAGTGCGTTCTGCTCCCACATTGAAAAAGAAAAGAAGATGGATAACAAGATATATGTTTTGTTGATGTCAAGTTAATCTAAAAATTGACACTTAAGCATCGTGATCAGCATTTTAAACCAAAGAAAAGAGAACCACAAAGATCACCACAAAGCAGTCCAAGTTCTAGGTTATCTTTAATTTTATTTAGACATTAATTACAGGATTTACATAGTGTTTCACTGAAACAAGAGTCTAACACTGGCGGGCGAAGCCCTCTTTGCTCCTGAGGTCAAGAGATGGTCGATGTGATCTCCGACTGAGACGCGTGAAAAGATAACGTTTCGCTAATCGGTGTCTGCGTTTAGGGGCCTAAGAAATGAAAACCGCCGCGGCGCGAGTGGCTTTGGCTCATCACAGTCTTCCGTTTGATCAATTCATCCGGTCGATTCAGCTTCAGTCGGTCTGAAATGGAGATGGACAGCCGAGCAAACTATGCATCCCAAACTCACCACCCTAGACTTTTTTTTTTGTTTGTTTTACAGCTCCAATGCACTTTTGTTTAAAAAAGAACAAAAAAAAAAATCAACAAAAACATAGTATATTTACAGTAGAACACAATAGATATATATATATATATATACATAGATATATACATACAGCATTTTATAAATATAGTAAAATAGATTAAATTACACTGAGTTCACCGTCTTCCATAAATAGATGTTTAACAAAGACTGTTTTGGTGACGTGTTAGTGTTGGAAGCACAGTGCACCATTCGGATGACAGGCTCTTGACTCGGCCAGGCCGAGTGTGTGCGCGCGCGTGTGTGTGCGTTTCGTCGCTGAGACGATTTCAAATCACAAAAAACTGTGCAACCACACGTTGAACGATTTTGAATTCAGGTTCCTTCATTTAGTCTGTTGGTGCTAAAGAACTCGCCGGACTCCTAACTTTGTTGAAGGGGGAGGTGGTTCTCTCTCTCTCTCTCTCTCTCTCTCTCTCTCTCTCGTTTTTGCAAGTGTAACAGGCAATATTGCAACCACGGCACGTGGTCAAATTCAAAGTATTCTCCCATAAAGAAAAAAAAATCGGTTTTCCCTTCCCCCTAAGGGGGGGGGGGGGGGGGCGGGACCAGGGGGCCCGCCCACCTCCCGGAAAGCAGTAGTGTCGTTGCCGCTCAAGCTGTGCCAACAAGACCTTCAGCTAGCAGTAATAAAAGAGTAAATACAGTTTTTAGAGGAGCCCTCGTGCGAGGCGCTCAGCAGCTCCCAGTGTCTGGTTCTGGTTCTGAAAAAAGCCGGTTCTGCCGACCCGATACGTACGCTGACATTATGAGCAAAAAGGTCACAGAGCCTCATGAGAAATACTGGACTGGTGCCTTTTTTTTTTGTTTGTTTTGTTTTTTTAGGCCTCGCCCGTGATGACCGGCGAGTGTGCTGAACCGTAAGTGCTTTTCAAACATACAAAGACGCTTTACAAATACATGATTTTTTTTGTTTGTTTTTTTTCCGTTTTTGGCAAAGTCAAGAGGAAAACGAAACCAAGAGGAAAGTATGGCCGCACGCCGGTCTTTGGGTTGGATGCACGAGCTACAAAGGTCAGAGGTCGCGGCCACGCTCAAAACGCTGTACCTGAGCGTGCGCTGCAAATCGTGCTCCTGCCACTACGTTCTCTCTTGCTCGTGTCTTCGTTTTCGGTTGTACCGTAACTACTTCCCAAAAAAATAAAATAACTAAAACAAAAAAAAACACGAATAAAAAAAGGAAAAAAGAGCGATAAAAAAAACAGATTATGATAAAAAGCGTAAAAAGTAAAACACCATCTTTGTGGTCTAGAATAGCATCATGTACAGAGTTCAGTTACATTCTCTTGGAATGGCATGGTTTGCTGCTCAGAAAGTCTAAGCCGAGCATCGAGTGACTTTTTTTGTTGTTGTTTTTTTGTTTTTGTTTTGTTTTTGATCTTGCTTGCGCGGTTGTTGCAGTCCAGCGTCAAGAAGTTCTCTCCTCTCTCCGGGTCTTAGTGGCCGTCGTCGTTCATGGCGTTGTGGATCCAGTCCAGGATGATGAGAGTCATGCTGCCGAACATGACCACTATGCCGCACACCAGGAAAGCGCAGGCCTGTCCGGGGGAAAAACAACAAAGTTCCTGTTTGAGCTTCGTCCACTCGGGCTGAATTTTTTTTCTCACTTCTGCTCAGTTCCAAGTTGGAACATGTGGCCCAATTCTTTTATCCCGGCATTACAACTAGCTAAGCTCATAAGCCACTTGTTCTGACCCTAGTTTGTCTTAAAATCTTGATGGATGATCAAAGAAAGGGATACAAAAAAAGTATCAAATGGTGTTTAAGGATACAGTACGATTCACCATTTACTAAAACCAACGGGATCCTATAAACATCACGTCCTTTCAACTTCTTACCCCAATCTTTTGTACGGACTTCATTGACTCCTTCTTGACCAGCTTGATGTAGAAAGCCGAGGGCAGGATGAAGATGAGCATAGCGGCAGCGGAGGCACCTAAATGAAGGAGGAGAACCTTTAGCGGGGGAAAAAAAAAACACAGCGCCGAAGTGCGCTCGCAGAAAGCACGACGCTCACCGATGAAGCCGAAGATATCTCTGATGGTGGGGACGAAGATGACCAGGGTGTTGGTTCCGGCCAGCAGGACCACGGTGATGGCGGTGTGGCGGATCCAGCTGAAGTCCCTCGTGGGGCACAGCAGGTGGTTGATGGAGGTACGGATCTAGGCGGGAAAAAGGACAGAGCAAACGGTCACCTTCTGGCGGGTCTCTTCGTTGGAACTCCGGGAGCAGGTTCCTCGCCGTGGTGGGAACTTACGGGAAAGAGCACCACGGGCACGGTGAGGGTGACGGCGGTCAGCACGGCCAGACGCACGATCAGCAGCAGGACATCGGACTTGTAGTACTTGGAGTAGGTGTGCAGCAGCTCGGGCTCCACGTGGACTGTAGACAGACAGCAGACACTTGAGAAATTAACAAATTAACACACAAAAACATAGAAAACCCCTGCAGTTTAGCATTATTTGCATGGTAACACATTAGCCTCAAATGGTTGTTTCCCTTATCATCAGGTCAGACATCCATCCATTATCGTAACCACTTATTCCCCAATGGGGTCGTAGTCAATGGGCAAGAAGCAAGGTACACCCTGGACGGTCCCCCAGTCCCTCAAAGGGCCACAGAGACACACAAGGACCAACAACCCCACACACTCACTCCTAAGGGCGATTTGTAGTGTCCAACTTTTGGACGGTGGGAGGAAGCTAGAGAGAACCCACGCAGACGCAGGGACAACATGCAAACTCCACACAGAAAGGTCCTGGTTCCCCCGTGGGACTCGAACCCAGAACCTTCTTGCTGTGAAGCGATGGTGCTAACCACCACACCACCGTGCCACATTAATTCCTTTTCCAAGTATCCAGAGAAGATCGATCTGGAACCTGTAGCTGGTTTAAGGAGCTAAATCCCAAATTAAATATACGACACGAGATCGAATGTCTCCTTTTCTAGAAACCAACGGTCTAGCCCATTCGCCAACAAGCTAATAAAACGCATTTACAGCCATTAGGTAAAAAGCAAACATCCTGGTCTTAGTTGACTTTAGTTTTAACTTCAGTGCTAATTGTAAAAAGTCAAAGTCAGCACGTGAAAACTGAAACAATCGGTTGCTTTTGTGCGTATTGACTTTGTGCCTGTCCCAAAGTTTGGGAGGTACTACCCCAGTACCTGGAGCAACCTCTAGTGGATCTGCTCATATCTGAGTTGCACTTTACTTGGCAACAGGCACAAAGAAGAGCCACGTGACGTTTCATTTATTTTTCCCCCCTCCCGCTTTAAGTGCGCTGACCTTTTAGTTTTTTCCCTAAAAAACTGGGTTCGATTTCACAATGCCGACTTGCCCCTACGCTCCCACGCCACCTAAATCCAGTTAACCTGATGCGACTGCATCGTGGTCAAAGTCCCTCGACTCTTGTTGTGCCGTTATGTAACTGGTGCCGCGTTCCGGGAAGGCGTTTGCTAAGTCTGGCAAAAACAGGAACCCCGACGGGAACGCGCCGGCTCGCCAGTCGGCCGCGTCAGATGTTTTCCCTTCTCATTGGGGACCTTGAACGCTCCAAAACACACAGTCACCCGGAGCGTTCTGTGCCGCATTCGCCCCGCTGGATCGAATTCGAGCC